GCTACTCGCTGGCGCAGCTGGAGCCCTGCCTGCGCGAGCTGGCGCGCACGCACGCGCACGCGCAGCACCAGCCCTACAGAGCTATACCAGACAAGTATAAGAGCAACAAGTAAGTCAAATGTTACAGAAGATAGTGTGTGCATTGTACAATTCATTCATTTTACTAGCCATTATACTCCATACTAATATTATGAATGAAGATGGATGGATAAATGTTTGTTAGAGTTTGTAGTCTAAACTGTTGAACGGATCTCGATGAATTTGAAATAGATGTAGAGGATAGTCTGGAAGAACACATAGGATAATCGGTTTGTTTTTTTTAATTCCACTCGGATAAAGTCGCAAGTAAAAGCTAGTTTTAAATTTTTTTAACCTTTGGCCATTTTCATATGTAAATTTACCCAACATTCTAAGATGAAGAAAAATATCATGATGCAATCTGCACATATCTGTAAAAAAAAAAACAAGATTTGTATAGTCTTGCATTAGGCCTCCGTAGTCGACTATGCCATAGCTATTCCTTAGTGTAGGCTCCGAGCCTCTCATTGAAGAAATGTAGTAAACTGATGTAAATTTATTACAATATAGATTCGACGCCGTGTCGACGATAGAAGCGAAGCCCTTGTTCCCCGTCGGTAAGTACCAGCCCGCGGCCGCCGCGCCGCGCCCCGCCGCAGACAGCGCCGCGCGCAGCTAGTGCCCGCTACACCTACACCTACACCTACACCTACATACATAGCTCATACACGTCTCATACATGCATCTCATACATCTCACACACACACTTGAACCGCATTTTACATTAAGTTTACGAAAGTACATTATTATTTTGTAGGATTTTTTAAAAAGCAAATGCAAATATTGTCATTTAGATATATTATTAATTGTATTTTTAATGTTAACTGTGACCTCGGCATTTATGTGTATTTAGTTAAAACAATTTCATTCCTCAGATATTCAATATACTTGTAATAAAATTTAATATACAATTTAATTTTAATATCGAATATAAGACTGTTTCGTCATTTAGAATTCAAAATAAATATAAAAAGGAGGATTATACTCATATTCAAGATTCAATTAAATAAAAAGAGGTAAGTAAAAACATAATAATGAATTTAAAAGCATTTGCAAAAAGATGTAACGGACAGAAAGATTTAATTGAAACGCATTTTTAGACAATTAGAATGATATTTTGTGCGAGTTTAGTTATTGTAATATTAACTGTTTCCTTTGGAAATAAAATACTATTTTTGTGTATGTGTATATTTATAAGTAAATTTTAAGTTGTGGACTGTTATATTGTGGCCAATTTCAATTAAATGTTTCAGATTTACAGTTTTCAACTATTTTGACTAGTTTAGGTTTTCAAGAATTGTTTTTAACACTTATAGATATGTATTTCCAAATATTGTGTTCATTTAATTAATGTGAAATAGCTTAACATCTTGACTCAGAAGTTTATCCGACTAATTGATATATTTTAGTATAGTTTCTGTAATTTTATTCCGAAGACCAAGACATGTATGTGATATGTTTAATAACTAAATTTATATATGTGCAAGAAACAATGACCATAAATTAAATGCACTCTATTTCTATAGTATTGTTTTGTATTCTGAAATCTGTGTGTAATCTGTTAGCGAGGTGCAACTTTGGTGCAAGCCTTTTCTGATGCCCGATTAATGTCAATTTTTGTTAGTAAATTATTATTTTTGAGATATAAGGTACGTTTTTAATGTTAATAATTAGTTTTAATGTAATTTAATATAATCGATATTTTTCTCCGATTTGCTAATGGAGGGTAAGTACGAATACCTTTTTTGGTGAATAAAGTATTTAAAAATTGATACGTTTTTTTATTTCACCCAATTGAGAATATGCATGTATTTTTAAACGATTCAACTTGTTATAAGTAAACCAGAAAATGAAGATTGGCATAAAAATTAGTAAGCTAAAAAGTAAAATAAAACGGGAGTGTTATGACTTCAAACGACATTGATTGGTTCTTAGAGTTATGAATATTCAAAAAGTGATTAAACCTACCAATAACTTTGGAAAAGCCAAAACATTGCGAGGATACTTGAAAAAATACAGCTGTTAATGATAACGATACTAAATTATATTTGATTAAAAAAACTTTATGGCATGTATGTATTTATAGCAATAAATTATGCAAAAAAATGTTCGTCCGATTAGGCGTCATATGAATATTACCTATTCAACCACATTTTGTAAAATTCCTATTTTTTCAAGATGAATTTCTAGAAGAGTGAATGATTAAACATACGATATTTTTTATTTCATAGCTCTACACGTGCCTATCCTTTATTGTACAGACAGCGTGAAAGCGGCCAGGTGCGCGCGTATGACGGTTACATATGGCTTCCTTTCGCATAACTCCTGTTTAATCATGTAAATATGATCCTTATGTCGTGCGTGTTATAGTTGTTTATTTAGCTAGACGCTGTAAGGAAGAGATGTGTTAGACTAGCCGGTGTGGAATCTATTTGGAGAGTGTCCGCGACCCGCCCCAGAATGCCGGCCGCTGCGCTGCGTTATATGGAATTAAGGTAAATAAAATCAACTTCTGACGTTTTGTGATTTGTATATTTCTTATAAGAAAATAGTTCTCTCTTTTTATAATTGAATCGTTTGACGTGCGAGGTTTTCTATCTATTTGTACTGTAATGTCGGTGGGCCGTTGGCTAGGACGCGGGCTTCTCTTGCGTGTACACGTTGCCTACGAGTCCTTTCTTCGTTGTATCCGTACCTGAAATTAAACAAAATCTTATGAACTTTTATATTATTTTTAAAAAATATACTTTACAAATCTTGCATGCCAATTAGAATAAACACTAAGATATCACAAGGTATTCAATGAAATACGACTACGACAAAGTTCTATTCCCAGAGGAACTATTTTTGCCGCCATTCAGTAGTGTTCAAATATGCGTTTTACTCTTGGCGTAGAACTAATGAAATAACAGACATACCGTCTAAAAAAGCGCAAACACAAACGGTTTAAAAGCTTCTATTGTGAATTTCTGTGAATGCAATACTAATTTCTATTACTCTAAGGATATACGTATGTAACGGTATGTAAAGTTCTGATCCCAAGATGGAATTCTAATTAGAAACTCTGCTGACCCTAAAAGGTTTCAATATAATTCTTGTGTTATATAAATGTTGCACAAAGCAAGCCTGTCATTATTTGCGACACAAAAAATTCTAAACGCGTTAAGCCAATGCTAATTGCGGTTTGCAACCGCATTTGAATTTACGGCTTGCGCGCGCGCACGCGGAATTTTAAATGGTCACCAGCTGCCGATATACTGTTGCCAGCTATTAAATTGCGGAAATTAAAATTCCCTTATAACTTTTATAGGTGGCGTATTAAAATTCACACTCTTATATTTCGAATACCTTAATAAAAATGATTTTTTTTTTATCGCAGTACTTTATGAGTTTTAGTTAATATTTTTCTTGTGTAGGAGGCGCTTAACCTACTAAATCGTTTACGATTCCAATAGAGAGGAATTTACGATGTTTAAAAAGATCTGTATTCAATAAAATTTCACGATCACAGCTTTTTGGCATAACATTAATAAGCCAATATTTTATGAGTATACCACACTATTTAAAGTTTCGAAATCGACTTCTGTTAAGAGCATTTTTTTTAAACAATAAATACACGTCGAGGGCAGATCTAAGATCTAATTTCTCATTTTCTTGGCATCCCAATTTTTTAAGTAGGACTTGAAATTCAAGCAAACAACACAAATAACTTGATGTTTTACCCAACGCAAATATTTTATTTCGACTGGGAAATGAATTCAGCTTCAGTTATAACTAAGTTACGATCTTAACAGCTTAATATTTGGCAGAGAAACGTGCGAATCTATTTCGGATATCAATAAAACGTGTGTTTAATTGACGTGGTGCAGTGTTTATAAACAGGCGCTAGTGTGCCGCGGCGACGAGCGGAACTATTTTAGCGAGTTTTCCAGGAAGTGCCATAACCAAACAAACCACATTTACTATTTTCATATTTAACCTTCAAGCGCTCGCCAATTCTCCGTTAAGTCTGGTGTGCGAGACGGGTCTTTTCAAAATACCTATGCACCCGTAAAATGTGTGTGTATTTGTATAAGATAATATTGAGACTATTGCCAGTTCAAAAAATGCGACAAACTTAAACATTATTTTAACATTAGCGTAACTGTAATAAAACTTTCAGATAAATCATATTCAAATTAGTATGAATTGAGATTAAAAATATTCCCGTATCTAGTCAAAGTTTGCCAACATTCCTTGGAACACTGTATCTCGTCATCTCATCAACTTTCTTTTTAAAAATACAATCGAAAACCGACCCTATTACCTACCGTTAGGCGTAGCATAGATAATTACCGAGATGTTTACTATTTTATATGTCAAAAAATTACCTATAATTATTTAGCACCAATAAAATGTTTATATTCACATCAGACTTGCATGCAGAAGTTTATTTAATTGTATTGTTTGGCATTGGGCATATCCAGTGTTGGCAGTCGGGGTCGTCGCGTAAACACAATAAATCATCCGGCGAGAGCGACAAGGGCCGAGCCTAATTGGAAGACATACTAACGTACGCTGCTTATGATTGGCTTTAAGGGCCATAAAGCTCGTTGCGAAAGCACTCATTCGATTAATGACTTTCATTCATCTGGTATGATTTAAATGATAAAAAAATGACAACATAGCAACTTGATTCTAAGTATTTCATAAAAAAAGTATCGTTAATATATAAATACTAATGTTTTATATAAATTACTAGCTGTTCCCGTGCGGCTTCATCCGCATGAAATTATGAAAATTTTATTTTATTGTTGACAACCTTGTTTCCTGGATGTTGACAGCATCTTATGGTCTCTTTCCTACATTAGGTTTTTTGTCCAAACTATTGACCATCTAAGTTAAATGGCGTGAAAATATATAGCCTAAAGCGTGACGTTAGTGTAGGGCTTTTTATTAAAATAAGAATTATTCAAAAATATGCTGTAATTACTGACATCTTAGGTAACAAAGAAGTGTGTGTTTACGCTTTATTATAATAGTATAGATATAGATAAACAAGTTATTACAATAAAGGCGCGGTAATGGTAGGGCCTGCTTGCGGCCGGTTCCTAATAAGTCAGTTTCCTCGCGTCACGATGAATGATGATCATGTCACGACCGACGCCGTTGTTTTGTTTGCCCTTCAACTAAGAATAATCCTACCACAAGTTCATGTATTGATGAATATATTTTAAACATGTTTTAGATATTAAAAGAAGAACTTAAAAGAACAAGAAGAAGATATTAAAAGAGAAAGAAAGACTTTAGTATGATTAGTTGTCTATGAATAGGAAGAAACTAGTCTTATATGCTTGAAAATGAAAATGAAAAAATGATTTATTTAAATCCAACAATCATGTATACATGGAGTAGTAAAATACAGTTTATGGATACAGCAGATTTTTTTATTTTTTTATTGATTTTATTGATTCTTAAACTAGTGCATAGCACTAGTTATTAGTATAAGCACTAGTTTAAGAATAGCCGCAATAAAAGCGGTTACCCGTCCTGCAGTCGTGTAATTTAACACAAACTACACGACCATTTAAGCTTTACGATGGACCCATAACTTTGACTTTACGACATTAAATATAGCAAGAATGTCGTGTTTAACACGTACTATATAAAAATATCTACATTTCTTTACGCCTTAATTAGATATCATGGGCATATTATTTAAACGAGTAGAGGCTTCCAATGCTAAGGTGTCAAATCCAAATAGTAAAAATCAGCATGACCTTACCATTGCAATCAACTAAGGGGTTTCAACTATTATGCCTTAGGGACAATTGATAATTGTGCGACGTGATAAATCTGCTTTTTGGGCATCCGTCCCTAATGTCACGCTTGGCCTCTCCGCCCTCCCCTAGCGATGCTTACTTAAAAGAAACCGTAATCGCATATTTTATGCAACGAAATTTTCAAGCAGTAGCTTTTCATAATCAATTGTGTTCTAAAACCTCACCACAGTTTATTGAAATGTCTAGGCAACAGAGTTCAATATACTATAATCTATGCAGAATGGTTTGTCCACGAGTTTTATTCCAGAGATCTCGGTAGCGAGCGGGCAGCGGGCGTCTACCTTCAGACCACAGATAGCCGAGATAGCGACGTACGTGTTCTGCGAGCCAACAGGTTCCACTACGATGTACTCGCTTATTATGGTAGAAGTAACCATGCTTATTTTATTGATTTTTAACGAGATGTTTATTCGTACGAATATATTTTTATTACGTACACAGGAACGGAAAATAGATTTGAATTTCAGAATAATTCCCTATCTATAAAAGTTTACTTTACTGGCGGAAAACTTCCTTTTACTGAGTGTAAAAAAAACTCTTAAAAACTAGCTTTTTTTAAACAATTACAGGACATTTTTTCTTTTGACGACACTAAAAACAGGGTAATAACAAACATATACTTTTGAAAATTAAGTATTTTATGTAAATATTCGTTAACAATACGTGTGGGCAAGCAACAATTACCGCCAATGGTTCCGCCGCGCGCATGCCAAGTGGCCCGCCATAAACTCCGCAACTTCCGGAGCCCCCAAAGGAAAGGAAATTCACTACAAAATTTGCAATTCAGCACACGATCGAGATAGAGCGCACTCCGGCGTTTCTCACCACATTCGTGTATTGTTTGTTGTGAAATGCTAATGTTTTTTTTAACAGACAGACAGTGTGGGTGGCTCAGCCTAACAAAGTTAATTTATTGCATCAAAGATGACATATAAAATGTAGTTTTAAGT